GCCTTCTTTAATAGCCCCAAATTCCCCCCGTGGAGTGGCATGGCGTGGCGTCGGGGCGCCCTCTGCCTCTCACTCCAAACACAATGCCAACTCTCCCCCTGGTGTCCCGCCCGGGGCCCTGCCCCTGCCGACGCTATCCGCCGCAGGAAAGTCGCTCATCCGGCCGCCCCTGGTGGTGCTAGCTCTCCCAGCTAAGCGGGGAGGGGCGGCTTGGGTTGGGTTGGAGCGCGGTGGGGCGGGGTGAGGTGGGACGAGCGGGCCGTTTTATTGCCATCTACCGATAAGTACGCGAGGGCCCGCTGCCTGAGGAGGTGTCGAATGGCAAACGTGTCGTGTAGTCATTAAGTTGGGAATAGGGCTATCGGGAGAGAAAGAAATCCAGTTAATTTATTCAATACTAAAACGGATGTTTTCACTTGAAAGCTGGAAATTATATTATGTTAAAAGTAAAACATGTTCTCACAGCCACTCTGGAAAGTCAAGTATCGTACAGTTAGTATCACAGTATAAACTGCAGTACTATCGGTACCAGTGGTACTGCAGTTTAAACTGTGATACTGTGCGACACTACTTGAGTTTCCAGAGCATGTAAGTCACAGTTACGAGGCTGGGTGCGCCGGGCGTCGCGTCGCCTGCCCTTGACCTAGAGACCCGCACCCAAGGCCTCGCTCGATGCGCTACCTCCGGCCCCACCCACCCGCTCCCACCCAGCTCCCACACCACAGGCAGCAACAATAACCTCCCCCGAGCGCAACTGCTCCATATTGAGCGTCTCAACAACGAGATGAATGTTAATTTCGTTGTTTTATACGTCTCATCACGACCCGTGAGCATATGAATGAGGAGGACGAGCGAAACGGGGGTGCCTAAGAAAACTTCTGCATATTTATGTATTTGAGACATAAAACATCAAGGTGAGTGTGACCCCGACTTTGTTGAGGCCTACAAGTTGAGTTAAGGACGCCGTCCACATCTTCAAATCGTTTGTTTGTTTGTTCGTTTTCTGTTTAGTTTTTTTTTCGACCCCTAGGCGGTTTTTTAATTTGTTTTCTTTTTTATATTTATTTAATAAATTGGTTTTTGGCGAGCTGATTTGGTTGTTTTTGCCGCCCCTTTTGTGACCCCTGACGGTGTTTTGTTGTTGTTCTTTTTTTTTCTAAATCCTCGTCCGGTTGTTTTTTTGACCCGCGGCGGTTGTGTCGTCGGCGGGGTGCGGGCCGCGTGCAGCGCGCCTCGTGGTGGTGCAGCACCGGCAGCCGTCGTCACTTCACAACATGTGCCGATCCAGTTTCAGAGGCGCGGCGGCGGCCAGCCAGACGGGACAGGGGCGCCGCCGGTGGGAAAGGAGAGTGCACGCAACGCGATGAGTGCACGCACGCCGGGCTGCGCCGGGCCAGGCACGCGGCCACATTTTTAAGGCCCTTCGCCTGCCCCTCCCCAGACCAGAGGCGGGTGCAGCCCGCGGCGG